AGTAGTGTCGTAGTCATAGGGTTAATGTACTGGTGGTCTTATTTTGAGTCTGAAGACAGGAAATTGTAGCATGGTTTATGTAGTGTTTGTGTCTTTTTTGAGTTTGACTGTAGGAAATTATGTTCTGGTTAATGTTGTCTTAATGTTATAGTCTTTGTGTAATCAAATAGTTTAATTTCAGAACAAGGTTATTGTGTCATGGCTTTGTGCAATCAAATATTATTTGACAAGAACACCAATTCAACATGCATGACCATACACTTTGAATATCACAAATACTAGTTGACAAGAACAAGAATATAACAAAAATGCTATTGTATATCACAACAGCAGTTGACATTGTTTCATAGTTTACCTATGTGTACAATGATTCAAGGTCAACATGCATGACCATACAAAATAAGGAGCCCAAAGTAAGTATTGTTTGGTACATAAACATAGGTGTTAACGAAACCATAAAAGTAAAGTGCAAATTACATCAAAAGACCTAATGGTTCTCAACAACACCCCCATCCTCACTTCTATCCTCCTGTTTCTTCAGTTCTTTTGTCATTAGGGCCACCTTAACCTTTACAAGTTCTTGAATTATGCCCTTTGTTGTTGCACTTTCCACATGTGACAATGGTCCACCTCTTGGACAGTTTATGCCCCTGTGTACCAGGTTCATCATATGCCCTCTTCCTTTTCTTCCTGGGCCTACCCACCTACAAATATACATAAGATTAAATTGTTGTTCTTAAAAAACTACAGTTATATTGATATATGAAGACATACCTGAACAACATGTTTGGGTGGAAGCAACTTGGTTGGGCATTGTGATTTGGGCCACATCAATCTACCATTTATAGGTTCAAATTTGTGTTTGTACACTTCTGCCCATGTAACTAGCCAGTAGCATGGGTGGACCCAATGCTCCAACTCAGGAACATTATTTTCTCCATGTTTAATCTTGTCCCATATTGCACTTATTGCATGTGAGCATAACATGCCTGTAATTTCCCAATGTCTACATGTGCATGTTTTTTCATCCAAATTCACAATAAACTAATCACCCCAAGGAGTAGTGACTTGAGTTTTAACCCCATTGAAAATACACCTGTGCTTTTGTGCTTGTCTTTTCATTTGATCAAGAAGACTAGTGGCAGTTGGTGTGAGAGGACCATGACATCTATCAATCTCTCTTTGGACATTGTAAATTCTCTTCATCAAATACTCTCTAATATACTCCAAACAATAAATGATAGGTTTGTCCCTACCACCTTGTATTTTTCCATTCAGAACCTCACACAAGTTATTCAACAAGATATTAGTATGTGCTCTCCATGTTTAGTCATATAATACAAAATGAGAACAAATCCTAACAATGACAAGTGAATGTTAACATAAAGGAAAGATGATGTACTAACCTGAGAAATGAGATCTTGCCCAATGAGCTGGAGGAATCTGTATCAGCCAATCATGAGCTTCAGCTTTACATTTCTTTAGCTCTTCTAGTGCTTTGTCAAAATGCTTTATAGCAGTAGCAGTTGCACATGCCCACACCAAATCTTTGAGCTCTTTATCCTTCCACTGTCTTTTCATATTTTCATAAATATGCCTCAGACAAAACCTATGCTCAGCTTGAGGGAAAAGTTTGGCAATTGTAGGAATGATACCCTATTTAAATATTTCAATACTTAGTTGACTAAATAACAACAATATCAAGTTCAATTGAAGTATATGTACCTTTTGCCTATCTGAGATGAAAGTGAAGTTTGAATTATCATAAAGTTCCATATCATCAGCAAGTTGTTCCAAAAACCATGTCCATGAATTTGTGGTTTCATTCTCAACAAGAGCATATGCAAGAGGATATATCCCATTATTGGAATCTACCTCTACGACAGTCAAAATTTGACCAGGATAGGGACCTTTCATGAAAGTACCATCCAACCCTATGAAATCCCTTAGATTAGCCTTAAATCCTTCCTTTAATGCTCCTAAACAAATGTAAATTCTCCTAAATGTCCTTGAATCAAAATTTAAATTTGGCTCAGTGTAACAATCGATCTTCACATTAGTACCTGGGTTTCTTTCCATCAACTCTAGTCCATAGTCCCTCAAAATTGCATATTGTTTCTGAAAATCCCCAAAAACATGCTTCTGAGCCAATTCCTTTGCCCGATGTACCTTCATTCTTGACATGTTCATCTCGAATTTTTGGATGAGATCTTCTTGAAGTGCATTTACTGGAATGGTTGGATTACTCTCACTTTGCTTCACAATGTTTGTTGCAATGAATTTGTAGTTGCAAGCTTTAATGGTTCTTGATTGCACACACTGATGTTCAGTAACTAGGGTGTTCACCACCCAGTCATCTGTCTCTTTAGGTCTAGACATTAGTACAACCCAAGGACATTTACCCTCTTTCATATTTACTGTTTTGTCCTTGAATCCAATCCTTGACTTTGTCCATGGCCCACCATTCATATCTGGGACCACTCCTTTACACTTAGCCCTAATCCTTGTTTTGTCATTTTTTTTCAAAATGTAAATCCCTTTTGGTTTCTACTGCATGTTTGTTTATATATATTCTTTCACATCTTTCTTTGTTTTGAACTTCTGTCCTAATGTGAAAGCCTTTGGATGAAATACACCCTCAGAACAACTTTTTTCCTTTCTTATGTCTCTCAACATCCTCTCTCTGTTGTTTTCTTCATTTACAATAGGTCACTCAAACGATTCTGGGACTATGACCTCCAAATCTTCACCTTCAGTCAAGTTAACACCACTACCACTTGCTTCTTTGGTGGTTTTTTTAACCCACTCAACATCTTCATCAACATGTATATGAAATTCTTTCATATCAACATCCACATCATCTACAATATTTTCTAAATCCACAAAGAAGTCTTCGTCCTCACTCTCATCATCTGATATATTACCCTCACTCCTACTACCCTCACTCCAAGGACCTTCACTAACACTTTCCTTACTTCCATTGTATTCATCCTAAAAAAACTCAACATCATGTAGATTTTTTTCACCACCATATTCTGCGTCCACATCCCCCATTACCTCATAATCATCCACTGGATCAACATCCCCTTTTGGTTGGTGATCATCCCCTGTGTCAACATCTTTTTTACCATGGTTATCCTCAAACTGTACCCCCCTAGAGGGATCACTCTCTCGATCAACTGAGTGTTTTTTGTTGATCACAGGTTCATAGGGTACAATTAACTTTGACAAATCAGTGAACTCATTCAAATCCAACTTTTTACTACATGACCCAACTGATTTCTTTTTCATTCTAACCCTATTCATTTCAGTAGAATGATTCCCTTCAACTTCCTCAATACGAACCTTCAATGGGGACTTAAAGTAAGGGACTACTCTAGTATTTTCATGCTCGATGTACAAATTAATTTCCTTATGATTAAGCACATACCTTGCCAGCTGAATGACTTCCTGATCGGTGCCAAGGGGTAACAATCCACTATCCAAGTCTGTCTTTAGGATCATGAAATGGTAAAACATTATACCTCCATCATTGTACCCTAAACTGCCATCATATCATCTAACTCGTGGACTGAAAACACATCCATGTCCACAAAATCAAAGTGATCCACAAGTCCATCTATGTATGGCCTTCCAGATACCGTATTTGTGAACGAACCCCCGTGATTTATCTTGAATGTGCAAAAGCTTGAAATAGAACCTGATGTGAACATTCAAGAACAAAAAAATGTTAATGATGGAGGAAAGTAAAATTACATTTCGTCAAAACCTAGCATGATGGTGGTTGGGTGTAGCGTGGACGTAAAGACCACAATGTGAGCACCATTTTCCTCGATACACCCTTCAATCAGTTGAACTGTTTTGTCGGACGACGATAAGAACTCACGATTGAAGAAGATGGGATGATCAAAAGGTTTTCTTGGGGAAAGAGATAGAGTGTAAAGTCAATGTCTGAAACTAAACCCCGCCACCTTAATGTATATAGCTATTAATTTATATGTTCAGAAAAAGGTCCTTTAGGCTAAAATGACAAAAATACCCTCATGTGCAAGTCAAATGGAGCAGCTTAACGTTGGAATGGACGGACATCCAACTCGGGGACCAAACACGTGCAACTTATGGTCCGTAGGTACTATTTGAGGGAAAAAAGTACCGTAGGGACTACATTAGGGAAAAATCCAAAACCTAAAGGACCATTCGCGTAATTTGTTCTAATAATAAATACAAAGTTTAATATTTATGTATAAACTTCATATAAAAAATTAAATGCATTCTAAAAATTTGAGACACGGTAATATATTTTATAAAAGCTTCTAATCATATATACAACCTTTTCATATGTAGTTTATGTCGATAAAAAATCATTTCCGTATATATTGGTCTTAGTCCAATTTTACTAACGTTTTTCGGGTCCGGTCCGACTCTTACCTGGAAATTGTAAAATTAAAAAACATGTGAACCGGGAATCAGCCCGATTATAGATACTTTCGGTTCGGCGCAGGGCCAGTTACGGGTTTCTCCTGTACAATCTACGAAATGTTTTAGGGGTCGTTTGATAGTTTCTAACTGAATTAGAGCTGACTGGGTTAGAAGCAGACCGAGTTAGAAGTTCTGACTGAGTCCACATCTGACTGCGTTTATGTTGTTTGATTATTTTTCTGACCAACTATGGTGAATGATAAAAAATGACTATATTACCCTTATGACCACATATGATTGAGTTTTTTTTGAATGGATGCATGTTAAATTGTTAAGTAATAACAAATACAAACAAATGGATTGTTCATTTCACCAATGTGTGTTACATTATACAACTACACCTCTGTTTTCCTCCTTGAAAGAATTAAAAACGACATCAAAATCTGTATGAGAAGCCTAAGGAGGTTAAAACTTAAAAGCTTACATGGTTTCCACAAACAAAAGAAACCAAATTACAAAATCTTTACACTCTAAATCTTCTAAACTCAAACCATATCTCATAGTGATTGAACAATAAACTATCATGTGTATGCTTTCCCATGTACTCGAAGTGTACCACATCCGATTTCAAGAACACGTGATTCTGGAATTAAGTGATAGGATTCTGCAAGGAATTCGAATACATATCTCCCACCAGCCCAGGGTTCTCCATAGTTACTGTGGTGTTGTTCTACTAGGAGTTCACCTGGACATGGAAAGGCTCTGTGGTTCTTTGCTTCTTCATCTTGTTCATAATGTGATATCCCTTTGTACCTGTAATTGTGATGAAACAAGTCAAGGATAGATCTATTAATTAATATCATCGTACCATAAGATTAAGCACCACTGATTTCAATTTGTTATAGTATACAACTGTTCAATTCGGTTTTAAAATTGCAGCAATTGCAAAGCGAGATGAAAAACAAGACAAATAGCTGAGTAATTTACTGGATCAAATCCTGAAGCTGTTGGGCGTAAGTACGAGGATTGATACCCTTGCGGAGCAAATTATCCTGCATATGCAGTCCATTCACTTCGATCTGGGTCTTCAACCAATCGATGTCATATTCCGAAGCCGAGATCCGTTCCTGTGGTTGTTGTCTACTAGCGAAGCGAAGACGAAGAGAGAATGCACGCGTGAGGGAAGGAGCAATGGTGAATATTGTTCCTGTTGTTTCAGATAGGAGGAAAAAGCGAAGGCGTAAAGGAGGAACAAAGGTGAAGGGCAAATACGTGAAAGGAAAAAAAAGGATCGAGTCGGCTTCTTTTTGTTGGAGGACCGAATCAGATTAAAATTGGGGACCGAGTCCCTGATTTGGACCGAGTCCAAGGATGCCTAAGTCAAAACAAACAAGCTAATTGGGGATTAAGGACCGGGTCCTAACTTTGGAACCAGTTAGAAGGCTTATCAAACAGGCCCTTAGTTGATCATTTATTGAAAATTTATTCCAACGCAAACATATATAATAGTTTTTTTTTCAAATGCATGTTTAATATTTTCTAAAGAAAAACATCATAAATGGTCCTTGTGGTTTCCCCAGATCCGAAGTTTAGTCACCGTGGTTTGAAAACAACATAGATGGTCCCCGTGCTTTCAAAACTTTTGACGATTGATCTTTATTGCTAACTCTGTTAAATTTTGTCCGTTAACTGAACGACATTTTCGTCATTTCACTACCACAGGGACCATTTATGATGTTTTCTAGAAATCAGTTTTGAAGAAATATTTAATTTTTAGGTAGGATCTGTCATTAGAACAAACTGCAAGGACCGAATCTGTTAAGATTGCAAACCCGACTGCTTTCTTCCTGGTAGATCGATTCAAAGATTGTATGCATTCTTCACCATTTTAAAATCTTATAATTCGAGTCCTTTGAAATTTCAAATGATCCCTACCCTAAATAAACTATTTTCTATCTGTTAAGAGTTGTTCCCCACCCCCCTTTGAGCCTCAATAATGAGAGAATCGAAAAGAAGAAGTTACGATCCATATGATAAGGTGAAGTGTGTGCAATTGTTTCAGCTCTTTTTCCATTGGGATTTACCGATCAAACATCAGTTGAAACGTTCCAGTGCAACCTATACGGTTTACAAATGAGCATTGAGGGAGAGTGAGAGTGCCACTAAGGCCCGTTGAGAGTGTGTATGTGTGTTTGTTTTATGGTTTTTGTATGTTTTATTGTGTATGTGTTGCCAGTGATAAAAGCAAAGAGAATCAATGAAGCTCTTATTAGCGTCTGAGGCTACCATGAGATCTGGTGAAGGTGAAGAAAGACCGAGAAGGAAGAAGAAAAAGAAGTCAGAAGGAAGGAAGTTTCCATTGTCAGTTGGTCACCAGTCAAAGCACCCATCGGAGTCAATAGAAGAGATTCGAAAGAGAAAGGAGGGTGCTAGGTCTCGCCTCCGAAAATACCCTTTCACAGTGCACTGGAAGTGCTCGATGAAATGCTTGAGATAACCTGCAACTCAATTGAAGGTTTTTAATCCAAACAAATCAGGAGGGACAACGTTGTGTTGCCGGAAATACCCTTTCCCCATTACTTCACAGTGCACTGGAAGTGTTCGCCTGTAGAGTGTGGCCTGTGGTTGAAGAAGAAGAAGAAGAAGAATAATAAGGAGGCACAGGGGATGTTGACTTCATCTGTCGGACTAAATACTTGCAATCGACTTCATATGAACCATTGATTCATTTGTTACATCTGAAATCTTCAAAATTATGGGTTATTGTGGTTTCATTTGGTGTATTTTGTGTGTGAAAGAACTTGGGTTTGAAGTTGCAGATACAATGGTGGGTTTCTTTTTGGAGTGTGTGGATGGATGTGAGAGAGAGAGAGAGAGAGAGAGAGAGAGAGACCTTTTATATATTAAATAATTATATTTAATTTTTTTTTCTTTTTTTTTTAAATAAGAGAAACATCATAAATGGTACCTGTGGTAGTGAAATTACGAAAATGCCCTTCAGTTAACGGACAAAACTTAACGGGGTTAGGAATAAGGACCAATCGTCAAAAGTTTTGAAAGCACAGGGACCATCTATTATGTTTTTAAACCACGGTGACTAAACTTCAGATCTGGGGAAACCATAGAGACCATTTATTATGTTTTTTTCTTTTCTAAAAGATGTATGTATAATATTTATTTATAAGTGTTTTACAAATATAATCTTATTTATTTAGTAATTGTTGTTAATAAATTAGAAATTAATTCAAATTCATTATATATGAACATTTTATTTTGGTATAATTTTATGATAATATTAGTATAATGAAAAAAGATAAAATATATTTTTGTTAAAATCTAATTAATAGAAGAGATGTGTTTGACAATATAAGTTGCAAAAATAAAATATATTAGAAATATAGTTTTGGGATAAGAAATTGGATGAAAAATATATTAGTGTCGGAAATGAAACATTATTTACCTTATCTTTTATTCTATTTTTAAAGGAAAAAATAAAAATGTATTGGATATAGTCTTATAAAATATTACAACCACATCATATTTTATTAATATTTACTTTTATAATTAGATATATGTCATTTTTATCATTTTTTATATTTTTCAAAAAAACCAACATAATTATATGAAAGAAAAAAACCGACATAGTTATTTTAAGAGGGGTTTTTAAAAAACAATCATGATAAATAAATGATGAGAAATTAAATATTCTTCTACATTTTCTTCATACTCATCATCCTAACAATGTTAAATGCTGACATGTGTCACATTTAATGAAATTAATAATATTTTAATATATTTGTCACTATTTAACATGGGTATGAGGATATGTAGAAAGAAAATATAACAAAATATTTTATTTTCTCATAAATGATACATTAGTTACCGTTGAAAAAAATAGTTTTTTGAAAGGTTACTTGTAACACCTCCAATTCCATGTATTTAACTTCATGACCTTGTGATGAAAAATTGTTGCAAAATCAATCCCTTGAAGCGTTTTGGAGAAACACGTGTTTCATCCAGTACATTGAGTGTACTCCTAGTACGTCGAGAGTACATGGTCTGGACCAAAACCCTAATATTTAGGTTTTGTGCACTATTTAAACACCCTTATAGCCCTAATACCCTTTCATTCATCAGCCTCCATCCCCAACTCGACCATATCTAACCCTAATCTCTTGTGTAAGCACTTTTGAGCTTAAGTGTGTATTTTGGTGACCTTGAAGGAGAAAGAAAGAAGAGGAGACCAACTTAGAAGAGTGAAAAACTTTGGATCCAGAAACACATCATCATTTAGTACCACTTGGAGGTAAAAAGCTATTATCTCGATGAAGTTTTCCTTTAGAACTTGTTATCCACGGATTTGTGTTCATTTGGGTCCTACAAGCTTGGTATTATGAGTATGGGTTACTCTAAATCATACGAGCTATCCTTTCAGACATTTTGGAGTGTTTTGAGTCATAAAAATGGAGTCTTGATTGTTCATATCCCTATATGCATGCTCTTTAGTGGTTTAGACCTTGTATTAAGTTAGGGTTTTGGTATTAAGCACTTAATAGCCATGTAAGATCATAATATTGGAAAATTTATGATTAAGGATGCAATTTAAGGACTAGATTTAGATTTAAGACGAAAGAGCTTAAGGGATTAAGCTCTTAACAGAAGGAAAAGGTGGCAGAAAAGTATGTTGGGCTACACGTACGCAGTCAACACCCCTATTTTGGTCAAGACCTTAGTACGTCGTGCGTACTAGCTGAGTATGTTGGGCGTACTCGGCTGGGTTGACTCGGTTGACTTCTTTGACTTATGACTTTGACAAGGACTTGACCAAGTTTGACCTAAGGGTATTTTTGGTATTTTAAGTTTTAGTCAAGTTTGGTCACTATTTGCTGAATAAGTGACTTGTGGAGCTGATATTTGGAGCAATGTCCTGTTTAGCTATATTTCCAGTTTGAGAGGTAAGTTTTTCTCACTGTGCTTGTTAGGTCGAAGCCACCAATGCCGGCCCACTGGGTTATGTATTTTGGTATATAGGATGTTGTTATGTTGTAGATATCTGTAGATCTACTTGTTTATCTGTTTTCTGGATATATAATTATTTGTTATGTATATATCGACATTATATGGTTGGGTTGAGGCAATGCTGCTTCGTGCGGCAGCCAACAAACCTAGGAACAAGCCATAAATAAGTTGTGGTCCCGAGAGGCAAGTCAGACTTATGTTGTGGGCTCGGGAGTAAGCAAAAAATGAGTTGTGGGGCGGAAGGAAAGCCAAACTCATGTTGTGGACTCAGGGGTAATCCAGTCTGTTATCTGTGGACCCAATATGCATGTTGTTATATGTTTTTGTGGTAATACTTTTGGGGAACTCACTAAGCTTTGGCTTACAGTTTCAATTTTATGTTTCAGGTAACCTAGGGAAAACAAATGTGTGATCGTGCACATCCTCTTGGTTTTTATGATATTGATTTGGGATACTCTGATATATGATTTCTATATTTGAGAACAATGTTTTGTAAACGTTAGGTTTCGATTTGGGTTTTGTCTGAAAACAATGATTTCTCTTTATTTAAAAATGATTTTTTTACTTTGATTTTTTGGATGTTACAAGTTGGTATTAGAGCCATGGTTTGAGAAAATTGGATGAGCATTCGTGTGAATCTAGATTCAAACTAAGGATCTGAAGAAATTTTCAAAAAAATGATTTTCAAAATGATTTTCGAAAGTAATCAAGGAAGGATGAGATGTGGACGATCAGTCGGAGCAAGAAAAGTATACCCTAAGTTACCTACACTGTTATTTGTTATTAATGGTTATGATAAAACTGCATGCTAGTGTTAGGCTAGGGATCTTCAGGAATTGCATGATAGGTCTAATGTATAATGTCTGATAGCCTATGAGGACTTATTATGTGCTCGATGGAATTGACATCATTACTGTAGTTTCTTAGTATGTGCATCATAGTTGTACATAACTAAGATTCTATAGCCTGAGAATGTTTGGCTTAGCCTTATTTCCTATTCCTTGTTTGCTTGTGGGCTTAGGGTAGAACCAAGTATTCGAATGTCTATAAGATCGAATGTTATGTATGATTAGCATGCACGAGCGGCTACATGATTGGTGGAAGTTTCACGAGTGAGTATGTGTGTGAGCAACCGACCAGATGAGGAATGATTAGCCACTCTGAAGAGAGTGAGGATAGGATGTATGCGTATCCTGATTGTTGTATTTGTTTTCGGGAGGTTGTGATGATCGTTGAGACAAATACGGGTAGGTGTAGAAGGTAGTATGGGCCCATACTATTGAAAGCACAGGACCCGTACATGTAGCAAGGAAGTCACAAACCACAAGGGTTTGGTCCCATCAGGTGATTGTAGCAATGTGTATTGTGGCTTTCTGATATGTTTTGGTTTATTTTTAGAATGGTGGATATGAGAGGATCAGGATCTGGAGCTGGTGACCAGGTCCAGGATTGACTAAACGATCAGATACGAGAGATCATCGCCACTGAGGTGGCTGCTACTATCCGGGGTTCTATGTTGGAGATGTGTGGGTTTATTAAGAACTCTATGATTGAGCTCCTTGATGAATGTTATGCTGATCTTTCTGAGGCTGCTGGTGTTGCAACTACCGCAACCGTTGCTGCTGTAGGGAGTCGAGGGGAGAGATCCTTCCAATACCAGGACTTTGATAATATGAAGCCCTCAGAGCTTGATGGGGTCAAGGAACCGATTGTGGTGATGATATGGTTGTCTGATGTGGAGGGTTGTTTCTTCACATGTTCATTCCCGAATTACTAGAACGTCAAGTACACCCTGAACCTTCTTCAATTAGGGGCGAAGGATTGGTGGAGATTGGTGACTGGTTTGTACACTCCTGAGCAGAGGGCTGTTGTTAGTTGGGAGAGGTTCTCAGAGATGTTCCGTACGAGATACGTTCCCATGGTGGAAAGAGAGAGATTGGATCAGGAGTACCTGGATCTGAGATCGACGACTGAGACGGTGAAGGGGATCAACAAGATGTTCATGAAGAGGGATCTTTTCTGCCCTGAGTTTGCTGCTTCGGAGCAGGCTCAGATGACTCGGTACTTGAGCATGCTCAAGACGGATATCTGGCCATTCGTGTCCACCCAGCGTTACGGTACCCTCATCAAGCTTCCACATGTCGCGAGGATACCAGAGATTGATATGGAGATTTAGGTGAGGGAACAGCGGCAGACTCTCGTTCAGTTACAGCCGACATCAAAGCGGTTCAAGCCCACTAATTCGTGTTCTGGGGGACAGAGGGCCGCACTTGTGAAAAGTGCAGCAAGGTTCATGAGGGTACTTGTCGTTCTTCTTCTAGGTGCCACAATTGTGGTAAGATGGGGCATTATACAAAGGATTTTCTTCAGCATGCCCTAGTACCGAGCACCAGGATTTGTTACCACTGTGAGTAGGTTGGCCATGTAAAGGCCAAATGTCCCTTGCTCGCTGCGAGACCAACACATGCTCCAACACCGACTACTTTGAGGATCACGGATAGACGTCATGGAAGGGCGGAGCCCTCGAGGGCTCGGTGTCATGCTTTCCAGCTCACAGTGGATGAGGCGATGGCAGCGCCAGATGTCGTTACTGGTATGTTTCTATTTATTATTCTGTCGAGATAATTAATTG